GGGCCGGGGCTGGGGCCTGAGCCGCGCCGGCCCCGCCGCCTCCCGCTGGCCGAGGGACTTTGCAAGGGCAGCCGTTCGTGAGCGCGGGGCGCTCCCGGGTGCGGGCCTGGGCGCGGACCTTCGCTGTAGGAACTAGGAGGAAGAGGTCCATATGTGACGCCTTAGGCGCTGCGGACTTGCTCCGAGGAGGCGACATTGGGCAGGCAAAGAAGCGACCGCTGGGCACAGACTCGGCGGGGCAAAGTCCCGAGCGAGGGGCAAGGTCCGGGAGCAGGAGCGGCCTGACTCGGCGAAGGTCCTGACGGCGCAGTCTCAGGGGGCAGCTGGGCCTGTCTCCACTTTCCCCTTTTTATTTATTTCTTCCACGAGCAGTAGAGTCAGCACCCCCAAAGGGTCTTGAGATCCGCCCCCAGTTTCACCAGTCCTGGATCGAGGGCACACCCGTGCCGGCTCCGCAGGGAGCTCCGTTTTGGGAACCTGGCGGCAGCCTCCCAGCTCTGAGTGTCCCACCGCTCTGAGTGTCCCACCGTGCCACTTCCAGCCAGTCTGGACCTTCTGAAAACCGTGTGGCCCTGACTGCAGACCCCACGCAGTCGTAGAGGGGATGGAGCTGCTTGTGCGCTTTCTGCTTCGCTCCCCGCACCGGAGCGCTCCTGTGAATAGCAGGGCGGGGACCCTGGCATGGACACATCTAGGTTTCCTCCAGGCCTAGTACTCGTGTGTTCGTCTGGCCTTCTCACGTGTTCAGGTTCATTTTGCAAAACTGGAGTATAGCCTCACAACCAGAGCACCCCACCTGGAGGGATGGCGTCACCTCCAGGGAGTGCTGTTCTCCGGGCGCGCGGGCCCAGAGCGGCCCTGCCTCTGACCCGAGACCCTCCGTCCACAGTGGTACCTTGTCAGCACTTGGGAGCTTCTTGGCCCAGATGATTGAGAAAAGGCGGAAAAAGGAAAAGCCTGGAACTCGAGACATTGGTGGGCCCCTCAGATATGCAGTTTACGGGTGAGTGCCAACGGAGGACTGCTTTTCCCTGCTGCAGACCGAAACTGCAAACAGGCACCATACCGAGGGCTGGGAGCAACCTAATTTGGAAAAATGATTATTATTTTTTAAATCATGGAAGTAATTACAGAACAGTGTTACTTTGTGGAGTGCCTATGTGCCTGTGTTGTACAGGTTTTTTTTTTTTTTTTGAGAGGTTTTTGCTATAGGGCGCGTGCACTGGCCAGACAGACAGAGAGAGACAAAGAGACAGAAAGCGAGAAATCACCCCCCAGGGGGATGGCCATGCCACAATCCCTTCTCCATTCTCCTCTCGGGATCTTGGGCATGCACGCACACATGCCTGGTGTGAGTTGAAGCCACCGGGTCCGGGACTCAAACTGTGGTCGACTACATGGGAGTCCAGCAATATAGCCATTACGCTAACTGCTGGTCCCTGCTTATGTATAGTTTTATAATTTACGTGCGTGGGGCTGAGGGACACCCCTGAGGGCACTTAGCAGAACCTGAAGTCAGACTTCAAGACTTGGACCCTGAAAGACCTGGTTGAGCTCAGGAAAGATGAAAATGGACTCAAATATGACTAATTTGGATGATTCTCATTTAAATATCCAGAAAAGAAATAAACTTGGATCCTGGAAAATACCCAGTTTCTGAGCCGCTTTCCAATTTGCAAAACACAAAAATTTAGAAGTTGGATCCATTTGATTCATCCTGAGCTGTCAGCAAGTGTTAGATACGGGTTATTCTGAAGTCTCTCCAACTTGGGTTGTGTTTGTGTGTATGTTGACGTGTGTGCTTGCGATGGCCGGGGGGCGGGGAATCACCCCCCCAGGGGGATGGCCATGCAGTCCTAGCCCTCCGTTCTCCTCACGTGGGCACACACACACCTCCAGCTCGCACCCACCGTGGGGCCCAGCTTCTTCTTCACAGGACCGCTGAGTCACTTCTTCTACCTCTTCCTGGAACACTGGATCCCTCCCGAGGTTCCCCTGGCAGGGGTGAAGAGGCTGCTCCTGGACCGACTCCTCTTTGCTCCCGCCTTCCTGCTGCTGTTCTTCTTCGTCATGAACTTCCTGGAGGTTGGTGTCTGCCATGGCACTCACCGCAGCCCTGCGCTTCGGCCGGCGCTCTCCTGACGTCTCTGGGTAGGAGTCAGAGAGCATGAGCCTGGCGTTATGGCCAGGGACATTCCACGTCCCTCCCACGAGCCAGGAAGGAAGCACGGGCCGCACTGCACCTGGCGGTCCCACAGGCACCAGACATGCCGCCACTTGTTGCAGATAGCCCGAGTTACCTTTCGTGCTCTTGTTCCTTGGGCCTGCCGTCGGGTCTCGTCACTGGCTGCTAACAGACACACACACACTAGTTGCCGTAGCGTTTTACTGTGTGGCCAGCCCCGTAGGGCCGACGTTAAACGCTGTGCTTCGAGAGCCAAATCCCACATGGCCAGACCCAGCCCCAGCAGCTTGAAAAGCAAGGCACGCACGCATGCATGACAAACCCTGACAAGATGGAGCGGCGGAGGAGGGGCTCTACACCCACTGGAGCGTGCATTCTCACTCTCTCTGCAGTAAGCATACTCACCCTCTGGCAACAAAAATTTAAGAGTTACTTGTGAATATTTCAATGACTGTACCTAAGGATAATTTGTTCCATTGTCATCTTAAAGTTTCTTAGACGGTATAAAGCATGGTTTTGAGAAGAGGGTCCATGGGCCCAACCAGGCCGCCGCAGAGACCTAGGGCACAGGAGGGCCGGCGCAGCGACTAGGGCACTGGAGGGCCAGTGTGGGCATGGGAGGGCAGGCACGGGGACCTAGGGCACCGGAGGGCAAGCCCTCTGCTGGCATCGTGGACACCTGTGTAGGCTCTGGGGCAGTGAGCTTATCGGCATAAACCTAAAACCAGAACCCACCTGTGCACGGACCAGGCGTGTCTAACTGCTGGAATGTGTCCAGCAGCCCCTCCGTGCCCTGGGAACACGGGAGCTGGGCTGCGCTGGGTCTGAGGTGCTGCGCCCTGTCCCGGGAGCATGCGTTTAACCAGTCAGAAGGCAAATGCTTCTCGCTCAGACTATATTTCAAAATGGCGTCTCAAGTTTAGTTTTTGTTGTTGTTGCCAGAGGGTACATGTGCTCAAGAGAGAGAAAGTGAGGGCCAGCAGGTGGCATGGTGGTTAAGGGGCTGGACTCCCACATGGCCGACCTACAGTTTGAGTCCCAGACCTGGCGACTTGCTCTCTCACTTTCCCTCTCTCCTACTCTCTTGCTCTGTCCCTTTGGGTCAAATTAAAATAAATAAATAAAATTATATAAAAATAATTCTAAAAAAAAAAGAGAGAGAGAAAGCACCCCCCACAGTGAGGCGTGGTCATGCCCCAATCTTCCTCCTACTTCTCCATCCTATGAGGACTTTTGGCTTTTACACACACACACACACACACACACACACACACACTGGTTTTCAAGCCACTGATAGAAACAAGTGTGACTTCTATGTGCAGGGGTTAATCACTGCACTGTGGGGCTGGCCCCGCTAGGGGACACTCCTGTCTCGTGACCCCAGGACAACTGCGAACAGTCTGAACTTAGCTGTGATTGCTGGTGAGTCTCACAGAAAGAAATGAGAGCGAGTCCTTTCCAAATCTGAGCTAGGAGGAAGGAAGCAAAGGGTACCACACTTTGGACGTGGGGGACCTTCACACCCTCCTTTCAGATCCGGAGACAAAATGTTTTCACTTTAAGAAGATGGGGCTGGGAACCAGCAGTTAGCGTAATGGCTATGTCGCTGGACTCCCACGTAGTCGACCGCAGTTCGTGTCCCGGACCTGGTGGCTTAAAACTCACGCCGGGTGCGTGTGCGTGCGTGCCCAAGATCCCGAGAGGAGAATGGAGGAGAAGGGATTGCGGCGTGACCATCCCCCCTGGGGGGTGATTTCTCGCTTTCTGTATGGGCTATTACCTGAACTTTTTCCTTTTTTAAAACATTTATTTATTTATTTGGAGAGATTTTTGCTATAGGGCGCGTGTGCTCACCAGAAGGACAGAGAGAGACAGAGAGACAGAAAGTGAGAAATCACCCCCCAGGGGGGATGGCCACGCCACAATCCCTTCTCCTCCATTCTCTCGGGATCTTGGGCACACACGCACATGCGCCCAGCGTGAGTTTAAGCCACCGGGTCCGGGATTCGAACCGTGGTCGACTACATGGGAGTCCAGCCACATAGCCATTCTGCCAGCTGCTGGCCCCCATTGCCTGAACTTTTTCTATTTATGCTGGAGTCTTAATTTTTTAGTCATTTAATTAATTATGCATCTGGTATAGGGCATGTGAATTCACTGGAGAGAGACAGAGAAGAAAAATGAGAAAGCGTCCCCTGGGTGAGTGGCCGTGCCCTCCTCCATTCTCATCTCGGGACTTTGGGCAGCACGCACACGTGTGCAGGGTTTCAAGCAGCTGGGCTCGGGACTCGGAGCACTCAGTCGGCCTTGTGAGCCCCAGTGCTCTAAGCACCGTGCCACTGGCTGGCCTCGAGTTTCTTCAGTTTGATTTTAAGGTGGTTCTTTTTGTTTGTTTTTTTGTTTGTTTTTTTAATCTCCGGCTGTTGCTACCAGACTGTTTTAATTACCATCATTTAATAGGTCCAGAGTAATTATTATGCATTTATTCTTCCAGATGACATTTAGAATAGATTTTTGGGGGTTATTTGTTTTAAAACTTGCAGTGAGTCTGGCTGGGAGTGCGTCAGTTTCATAAGTTATCTTGGACAGTGCTGATGGCCAAGGCATGAGCTGTGGTGCTGGTGCCAGGCCCAGCTGCAGGAATGGCACCCCAAGTCCTGGCGAGGCAGGTCGAGGGGTGACAAGCCCTCCACGGGGCGGAAGTCTGCTGCCCCCCGCCAGAGTGGGACGATTCCCAGGTGGTCAGGGGCCTCCAGCTACTGCTGGCCAGGGTCTCGGCGCCCACAGGGACAGCCGGGGCAGCAGGGCAGCTCTGACCCAGCTCTCCTATGCAGGGGAAGGACACTGCCGCCCTCGCCTCGCAGGTGAGGAGGAGCTTCTGGCCAGCGCTGAGGATGAACTGGCGAGTGTGGACGCCTGTGCAGTTCGTCAACATCAACTACGTCCCTCTGCAGGTGGGGCCTTGGGATAGTTCCTGTCTCCTGCTTGCTTTTCCTTTTTTAAAAAGAATTATTTTAACTTTATTATTATTTTCCAATTTGACAGAGAGACAGAGGGAGAGAGGGAAAGTGAGAAAGGAAGCCAGCACATCATGGTTGGCTATGTGGGAGTCCAGCGCCTTTAACCACCACGCCACTTGCCAGCCCCTGGCTTGCTTAATTTCCTCGAAGGCTGTCTCGCTTGCTAGGGAGAGACAGAGAGCCCTCGGATGGGGCAGGGCTGCACCAAATCCGTTCTCCATTGCTCCATTCTGTGTGGACTTGGGGCACACGCACTGCGGGTGAGACTCAACACGCCCAGGCGTGTTTCTCAAGCCCCTGGGGCAGGACGCGAACCTCCGTAGGCCACGGCTACCAGGCATGGCCAACCTGTGAAAATCACACCAGGAGTGAGTGTACCAGGCCAAAATCCCAGGCGGAAAATGGAGGGAAAGGGGTGAGGTGTGGCCAAGACCCTGGGCGTGAGTTCTCAGTTCCCTTGGTCTGTCCTGCAAGTCCCCAGCCACGCTCCGGTTTCTTAGCAACTGACACGCTCTGGGATCTCTGAGGCCTGCCAGCCTGCGGGTCGGGCCTGCTGAGCCCAGCTGGGCGTGTAGACCTGGTGTGGTGTGTAGGGTGGGCTCTGGACTTGGGGCTCCAGGCCTTCAGGGTGGGAGGTGGCCGGGCGTGGGGGGTAGCTGGGGGTGGGTTAGGGTTAGGGATGGAGGAGGCTTCTGGCTGCTGAGCTGAAGGCCTGTGAGCGGTGGCCTTGACTCCAGAGCCTACGGGGCTCACCAGCCCCTCCCGCTGCTTCTCCCAGAGCCCAGCCCATGCCCACGCCCCAGTTCCTGGCCAATCCGTGGTGCAGCCGCCTAGCTGGGAGCCCTCCCCCCCCCCACTCCAGCCAGGGTCCAGCAACTCGAAGGTTGTGGTTCTGTCCAGCGGCCGGCCGGGCGCCCCCATCTTGACACATAACAAAGGCTGCAACAGAACACCTGGCCCTGGAAATCTGAGCTGCCAGCCGAGGGCCAGCCCGAAGACAGGCCTGCCCCGGGGCCTGGGCACGAGCTGCTTAGAACCAGCTGCTCGGTGTTGGTCCCCACCAGGCTTCAAGGGAAGGGGAGGGGACCAGGACAGGACCCCTGGGAAAAGAGCTCCACTCCAGGGTGGGGACAGGGAGGCCCAGCATGCATGTGGGCACACACCGTGCAGATGCCACACACACCAGGAAGCGGCAGAGGGTCGGGCAGCAGTGCTGTGGGAGCTCAGGTAGGCCCATGTGGGAACAGTCCCAGGTTCCCATCCCACGGGAGAGGTGGGTACACATCCTGGGATTACCCAGGCTTCCTGAGACTGGGGAGGGCTGTGGTGCGAAGATCTTATTGGCATGCCTCTGTCATGGAGGCAATTAAAGGAACAAAAAACGGGACCAGGGACCAGCAGATGGTGTAATGGTTACGTCGCTGGACTCATATAGTTGACCTCAGTTCAAGTCCCAGACCAGCAACTTTAAACTCACACTGGCACATGTGCGTGCGTGCCCAAGATCCAGAGAGGAGAATGGAGAAGGGACTGCGTTGTGGTTGTTCCCCCGGGGGGTGACTTCTTTGTCTGTCACTCAGGCGAGTGCACGCGCCATATAGCAAAACTCTCTCTTAAGGAGGAAAAGGCAGGGCCAGCAGGTGGTGTGGTCAAGGTGCTGGGCTCCTCATGGCCACTGTGCAGTGTGAGTCCCAGACCCAGTTTGGAAGCACACCAGGCATGTGTCACACATACCCAAAATCTCAGGAGAATGAAGGAGGAGGGATCGCAGCGTGGCCAGCCCCCTTTCTCTCTACAACAAGCACCTGTGCCCTACAGCAAACTAAAAAAAAAAAATGCAGCAGAAAACTAGGAGAAGGAAATGGTGCGGCAGAGAGGCTAGTCAGCCGCAGCAGAGTTCAAGCTTTGACTTTTGCGACCTTTCTCCCCTTCCCCCAAGACCAAGCCTGGTGGCACATGGGGACTGAATCCAGGTTACTTCCAACTGAAGAGGGTTGGGAAGTGTGAAAGAGATCGCAAGTCTAGAATGTTCTTTCTGGAAGTTTGTGAAGAGGGTAGAAGAAATAGATGAGGTCTCACGAAGCTGGGAGAAGCGTGGAGCTGATCTGGGGTGGCAGATGTGCTCAGGAAAGACATTCTGCAGAACGACCGGCCTCTAAGGAGCTACGGCGGGCTCCTCTGGGCTGTGCAGACAACAGTGCTCTACACAGAGATGCGAGCGCCCACCAAGAGGGGAAGGTGTGCCAGGGTCCTGCGGGAACTGAGGGGTACCCCTCACTCCCCCTTTACTAAGGGGAGTGAGGAAGGAGCTGCCGGCACCAGTGAAGAACAGGAGAGCAAGCTGCTAGAGAGAGGATTTGGGCAGAGGAGACCCAGCAGGGGCTGGAGGCTGCCAGGTCACCCAGCCAGCATAAGGGTGATGGGTTGGGATGGAGAGGTCACAGCTCAGAGGAGGCCAGGGAGGGGCCTCCTGGTGGACAGGCTACTCAGGGAAGGAGGAAGGGGGCAGTATTACTTTTGTGATTCCTGCGTCATTGCTTTCCCCTTGGCCTGTCAACAGGAAGGGGCTGTTTCCTCCTCACCCTCTGTGCCTGGGTGCACTGAAGGCTGGGGAAGTACAGCAGCGGGTGGCGGTGGGCAGTGCGGTTCTCATTAAAGTGGCTCCATCCTGGGCGACTGGCCTTTGATAAAGCCTTCATGGCCTCCCACTTACTGCAGCCTGTCGACTCTGTTCTCTGGCAGTTCCGGGTACTTTTTGCCAACCTAGTGGCTCTGTTCTGGTACGCCTACCTGGCCTCTCTAGGGAAGTGAGACCGTCACGCCGTGGACCTGGACCTTGATGAGGTCTGGGCCAGCCCAGTCAGACTGATCTGACCAAACCATGTGTTCAAGATGTCCGAGATGACAGATGGAGAAGCAGGAATCTCCAGGGTCAGAGTCTCTCACTTTGACTCAGATGGCGCCGCCCAGAAATCAGGAGTGCACAGAAGCTCCCTTGTCACCTCAGACAGGGTCGGGGTCACAATAAACTGTAAAGCAGCTTCTGGAGTGTTGGCTGTCATTTCTAGAATGGTGCTGTTTGCTTTGGAAGAAATATGTAGGCAAAGGGCTTTTTCTTTTTTCCTTTTTTTTCTTACATGTAAAATACATGAAGCAATTTTTACCACTGTCGTTGGCCTGGGTATAGGATGTACAGTCAGTGACATCAAGCATGTTTGCAATGCTGGGCAAATATCACCATCCCCCATCTCCCAAACTGAAACTGCACTCCCCCTTTTGCCCTCCCTAACCTGGCTCCACCATTGCACTTTCGGTCCCTTTGAATTTGACTCTGGGTCCTCATATCAGTGGAATCATACAGCATTTGCCAGAGGGTGCATGCATTCACCAGAGAGAGAACAAGAGAAGAAAGCACACCTATGGGGAATGGCATGCTGCAACGCTTCTTCGTTTCTCTATATTCTTTTGGGACCTTGGGCACAAACGCGCACCTGGCATGCTTTTCTAGCTTCCAGGCCAAGCCATGAATGGTGAGGCTGGCCATGCAGTCCTGGTGTTCTCAGCACTAGGCCACGGAGCCAGCCCAGTACTCGTCCTTTTGGGACAGGCTTGTTTCACTTAGCATAGTAGCTGCTGTGATTTGAATGTGGTGTCTCTCCAAAATTCATGTTGAAACTTAATCCTGATTCTGGAGGTATTAAGAAGTGGAACCTTTGGGGAATGATCCATGCCCTTATAAGAAAGGCTTTAGGGGCCAGGAAATGGCATAGTGGTCACGTCACTAGACTCCCACATGGTCTACTGCCGCTGAGTCCCGGCCTGGTGGCTTGAAAATCATGCCAGGTGCATGTGCATGCATGCCCAAGGTTCTGGAAGGTGAATGGAGGAGAAGGGATTGTGACGTGTCCACCCCCCGGGGGAGATGTCTCACTTTTCCCTCTCACTATCTCTGTCTTTCATGAGCGCAGGCTCCCTAAGGCAAAAAAAAAACCCAAAAAACAAAAACTCTAAGAAAATAAGAAAGGCCTGAGAGTTCTCCCTCCTGCCTTTGCCTCTTTCACTTTATGAGGACATGTTGTTCCTCCTCTCCCAAGGATGCAGTCCCAAGGCCTCATCTCAGACAGAGACTGGACTGTCACATGCTGGCACCTTGGTCCTGGGCTTCACAGCTTCCTGGACTATGAGGAGGGAAATCCTGTTTAGAAGCAGCCTGATCTGTGTTATTTTGTTATAGCATGCATGTTGGTGCCTGTATCAGAATTCTCCTCCTTGGCCAGCAGGTAGCATGGTGGTTAAGGTGCTGGACTCCCACATGGCCACCTGCAGTCTGAGTCCTTCTCACCTTCCCTCTCCCTCTGGTCAAATTAAAAAATAATATGATGATGAATAAATTTATTCTTAAAAAAAAAGTGGGGGGGGGGAGCCAACTGGCCCATCATGTATGCTGTGGACATCTGGATTGTTTCCCATTGCGGCAGTTGGGAGTGGTGCCGCCATGAACAGGGACGTGTGGTGTCAGCCTCTGTCCTTGCTGCCCTCAGGTTTTCAGATGCTCTCGATTCTGTACATGGGGAGGGGCAGATAGTCCCAAAGGAAGACGTTTAGGGCATTTGCAGAAGTAGCAGCTGTGCCTGCAGTTCATGTGGAAGGTAATGGTGCCGGTTGTTTAACCCCCCACTCCATAAGGCCCCACCAGGAGGGTTAGGGCTCAAGGCTGTCAGAGTAGTGTCTAAACTGGGTTCTAGAGCCCGGCTGTAGTGCCAGCTGTCTGCCAGAGGGTCACTTCCTGGATGCTCCCGAGAGCCTCATGTGAATTAGCATCACCTGACCCTACAGTAGTCCTGTGAGCTAGGGCCCAATGTTTTTCCTGTTTCACACATGGGGAAACTGAGGCAAGAATCCTCAGTAAGCAGTGGATCCTGGATTCAGATGAGACTTTCCAAGTGCCCGAGCTGCTATCCTTACCACCTCACTTTATGACCTCTCAGAATGTCCAGGTGAGATCAAAAGAGAGTTCATTGGGAACCAGCAGTTAGCGTAATGGCTATGGAGCTGGACCCCCACATAGTCGACCGCGGTTTGCGTCCTAGACCCAGTGGCTTAAAACTCACCCCGGGCGTGTGTGTGTGCGTGCCCAAGATCCCAAGAGGAGAATGGAGGAGAAGGGATTGTGGTGTGACCATCCCCCCTGGGGGGTGATTTCTTGCTTTCTGTCTCTCTGTCTCTGTCTGTCTGTCTGGCGAGTGCACACGCCCTATAGCAAAAAATCTCTCCCCCCCCCAAAAAAAAGAGTTCATTGGGGCCGACTGTTTCATTTTTTTAATTGCCAGAGGGCACATGCATTCAGAGAGAGAGATGGGGTGGGGGTGGGCACACTTGACAGTTACGGTCACACTGCTGTCCCCTCTCCACTCTGTCCGGTTGTTGGACACGCACACCACTCTGTTTTTCAAGCTGCCAGGGCCAGGATTTGAACTATGGTTGGCCATATGGGATCCAGCTGTTAACCGTCAGGCTACAGGGCCTGCCCTGGGCCATATTCTCTTTAAGTACAGGAATCCTTACTCCTGGCACATTTGGCCTGTCACAACCTGTGTTCACTCAGTTTGCTTAGCCCACGTTTACTGGGTGCTGCCAGGAACATAGGAGTGCAGACGGCAGGAGTTTTAGTCTCCACTCAGGTTTTTCCAAGTGCTTAACGAGCTGAAAACAGTCCCACCAGGAAGAGAGACACTTATTCTTACACTTAGGTCTGAGCGCCTGACCATTAGCACTTTAATTATATTAGAACAGAATTAATTCCATAAAAAAGTCTGTAAAGCTTCACTAAATTACATGCACCACTCGAGGGCTCGTTCTCTTCCAAACACGCCTGACTTTGATCCTTTCTGATGGCAAATAAATCGAAGGACTCCACAAACTGAAGCAGTCTCAGGAGACAGAGGATTTTTATTTCCTAGAATTTGCAGCACCCTCATGTCCAGGGACACTCACACAGCATTTGCCGTCTGCCTGGGAGAGAAGCTGTTCGAGCCACATAGCTGGCTCTCCTTGGCACGTGTGGGAAGGCGGGGAGCAGCCACGCTCCAGCGCCGCTGCGCACTGTCCAGAGTGGGGCAGTGGGGATGGCGGGACCACTGCTCCACCTGACTTCCTCAGTCCCACCACGACACAAATGAGAAGGCTCGCCTTGCCTGGCGCACAGAGGAGCAGAAGTTTATTGTTGTTTTCTTGATATTTTTTCTTTATTCATGATCAAACTTGTGAGCACATACATGTGAGAGAGAGAGGAGGAGGGAGAGAGGAGCAACTGCAACAGGCCTGGCCACATCACGATCCACTTCTAGGCCTCCAGCTCATCAGATCTTGGTGCTTATGTATGTGCCTGGTGTGTTTCAGCTGACCAGCTGGGGATTCAAACCACAGTAGCCATGTGGGATCTGGCTCCTCCTGCGGCACCTTACTGCTGCAACATGGAGCCGGCCCAGGTTTCTTGTTTCTGTTTCAGTTTTTGTAATTGTTATAGGACACACTCACTGGAGAGACACAGAGGGAAAATGAAAAATCACTCTCCAGAGGGTTGGCCACGCCACCATCCCTTCATTCTCTTGGGATTTTTTTTTTGGCATGTACAGACACATGCCCAGTGTGTTTTCGAGCTGCTGGGTCTGAGACAAACCATGGTGCCAGCCATCCGGGATTCAGAGTCACCTGCTGACTCCGGCTCAGGTTTCTTTCTTCCTTCCTTTCTTCCTCCCTTTCCTTCCCTTCCTCCTTTTCCTTCTCTTCCTTCCCTCCCTTCCCTTCCTTCCCTTCCTTCCTTCCTTCCTTCCAGGTTTCTTTTTAGACAGACACAAAAACAAGCATGCATGGTTTCTCAGCCAAGGGCTCAGAGCAGAGGAATAGCAGCTGTCACAGGCTCTTCCCTGCACTGATATGCAGCCTGTTTTCTTTGAAAAGGGGCCCAGAGCAGTGGGCACCTTTTGCTCAGGTAAAACAATCTGTCCCAGCAGTTCCCAAGGGCAGGCAAGGAAGGCTGCTGACAGTGGGTAGCCTGGCGTAGTTTCCTACAACGGCCCTAAGGAGTCCCGCAAAATCAGTGGCTTAGTCCAGAGTCCTCACGGTGGGAGCCAAAGTGGGTCTCATGGCACCAGGGAGGATCCACACTGAAGAGGGTCTTACCTTTCCAGCCCCCAGAAGTGTCCCTGCCGTGGTGCTGGCCTGGGATTACCATGGCCTGTTTCCATCCCCACGTCTCTCCAATGACCTGCCTCTCTTCGTCTTGCTGGGATCCCATGAGGCATAACTGGACAACCCAAGCTACCTTTCCCGTCTCGAGTTTGGGAGTCACACCGTAAAGCCCCTCTTCTCTGCCAGGGTGATTTTGGGCGTTACGGTGGATGGAGCATGTCTCATCCCAACACCCAGTCTTAGCATCTCCTCAGAGAGTTTCCTGAAGGCCTCCCATGACATACAGAAAAAAGTTGATTAGATGGTAGAGCTGCTCGTTCAACAGTGTCACATACTGTGCACAAGTGTTGCCCCGCCATGGCCTCCCCTTGGGTGCCCTGCCAGCCCCAGTGTGTGGGAAGAATGTTCACGTCAGTGTCCTTGGCTGTTGCCCCAACCAGTCTGAGCAAGCCTCTGCAGAACAGCTTTGCTCGCTGGCGTTTGTCTTCATGCTCCAGCCCCTGGTGCTCGTGGGGTCTGGGAGAGAGTTTGGCGAGGGAGTGAGGAAGGCAGAGCTGCTGCTGCCCCTGCAAAGAGACCTTGGAGCAGCCACGCTCCCTCCCGGTGTTTCCTTGGGCAAGGGGTGCTCTCTGGGAAAAACTTCCCTGAGCAGTCCAGAGCCTGGTTTCCTGCAGACACTTTGAGTTTGCATTGAAGCTGGTTGAGATCGGATTCAGGCAGACTCTCACTGTTTGGTTTAGAGGTTTTTGTTTTTTTTTGTCTTGCCAACAGGGTGTGTGCACTTGCCAGAGAGAGACAGTGAAGAAAAGTGAGAAATCTCCAGGGCGCATGGCCACACAACTCCTTCTCCTCCTGGGATCTTGGGAAGGCACATGAGCCTGGAGTGATTTTGAAGCCACCAGGACCAGGACCTGAACTGTGGTTGGCCACACAAGAGTCCAGCGACATAGCCTCTGTGCCATCTGCTGGTCCCAGAACTTTTCCTTTTTTTTTTTTTTTTTTTTGCTATAGGGCGCGTGCCCGCGCCAGACAGAAAGACAGAAAGCGAGAAATCACCCCCCAGGGGGATGGCCATGCCGCAATCCCTTCTCCTCCATTCTCTGCTCTGGTTTTATGCTATCGGGTCCGGGACGCGAACCGCGGTCGACTACATGGGAGTCCAGCGACATAGCATTACACTAAGTGCAGGTCCCTTTTCTTTTTTTTTTTTTTTTGAGACAGTTTTTGCTTCAGGGCGAGTGCGCTCGCTGGAGAGACAGAGAACGCGAGGAACCACACCCCTCCTGGGGCGCTCTCCTCTCCGGATTGGGGCACGCACACGCATCTGGTGCGAGTTTCAAGCCACCGGACCCGGAAGTCC